ATAGTTCTTTTTGTAAAGTATTTCTTTTCTTTTTTCACACCTTTATGAGACAACACTAAAGAGCCTTTCTGGCAAGCTCAGCGCAGGTAGTCGTAGTTAAACAGGGGGCGGCGTAATCGGTATTGCACACGGGCGTTCAAACAGCTAGCGGCGCCCCTGAGTGGATAAAATCACTGAACAGTGGGAGTTGGTCGTGAGTTCACGACTAACCAATGGGTTAGCCACGTGGAGTTTTCCAGTTTTCTTCGCATTTATTACACCTAAATAGGGGGGAACACTTTCCTTTAGAAAGTTCTCCCGGGAGGCACCCCCTCGGCAGATCGTTCTCGTGTCGCGAAACAAACAAGCGAACTCCAGATGTCACTTCAACGTTTGAGACTGCATTCATTGCTGACACGTGCTTCGGTATGTTATGAACATACTATTCTGTTAATATAATGCTATGAATTGAATAGTTTTAAATTTATTCCAAAAGTACACAAGAAAGAATCATGCAATTAGATTGAAATGTAATTGAGGAAAGGCAAATAAAATTTATCTTCTGTTGGGTCGACATAGTTTTATTTAATTGTATCATTTGATAACGATGTTATCATTATGACAAATAACAAGAATTTCTTTATTCGTTCTTATCGTTAAATATATTTATAGTTCTGTTTAACGTAATCTATATTAGTCACATTTTATCATCGAGGAAGTGCGTTGAAGTGCCTTTCAAAATACGCAAATGCGTTGATATTCATTGAAAACATTTTACTTATGGCAAGTGAAGCAATAGTAAAGAGCTATTTATATACTGTTTATATTTTTATATTGGAGAGTGATAAGTTTATTATTTTCTTTATTCTGAAATTAACAAAGAATGCCCAGCGTTTCCCGAGAACTCGGGAAAGGGTTGAGTTGTCCTCGTCGTAGGGGAGCGTATGTTTTCCGCAGAGTGGGAGAGTGAGTCTGCGAAATTTGTCCAATTGCGGACCCTTCACTTTTCTATGATTCTATCCGGGGATGAAATCAAAGAGGAGTGAGGGGTCCAGTTTCCGGATACGAGGTAGGCTAGAAACATGGATAAGCTTTCGAATGGTTCCTTGACATGGATATATTTCGTGACAATTGCGACTTTCCTTTAGGCATTTTATCGTCGTTAGGGTCACTGGCATATGCGTAAATCCGAAAAATAACCGAAAGAACTCAATTTATGTAGGTAGATATCTGTCTGATAACATAAGACTAATTACTATTTTTAAATAATGGTAAGGCAGGATTAATACTAAAACAATGAACACATAAAAATACTATATGTCTACTTACAAAAGCTTAGTTTCACACAAGGAGTGTAAATTCGTTCTTTATAGTTGTAAATATCTGATAACATAAGAGTATTATTACAAGAAACGAACTACCAAAGACAATATAAAACACAACATATACACAACTATCCGAATTGCAGGGATCAAAACCGAAACTGAAAATACAATATAAGAAATTAAAAAAAAGCTCACCAGGTGGCAAAGAGGATGGACCAATGACATAAAACTACCATACCCCGAATCCGATAAAAGTTAACATAGAAACCATAGAGTTATCCTAACAACCGTCTAGCCCCTAAGCGAGCGTTAGTTCTAAATTATGCCGCTACGGCAAACAGCAGGACGAGATTTGTGGTATTTTCTGATCAGAATTACAAATTATGAAGTCTTTATTCGTTATCTGTTAAATAAAATGAAATATAGCGGGTGTGGTTTAAAATACTGTAGAGTTATAGACAAAGTTTAATTTTAAACAGTACGATTTGTGATATGCAACACGAGTACTTGTGTTTTCTTTTAAAAATATTGACCAGAAAATACCACAGATCGAGTCCCACATTAACGCTGTTCACCGTAGCGGCATAATTTAGAAATGATGCTCGCTCAGGGGCTAGACACTTGTGTTACTCTATGGTAGAAACTAGAGCCGCTCTGATGGCAGAGGCGTCAACAAAGACGGATCTACGTAGGGACTAATAGGGCTTAAACCCTGGGCCCCCCAAAAAGTGAATTATTATCATCAATTTTTAATACTTTTTTTATTAACAATGAGCATTTATCGATATTAAGTTTGTCATTCAACACCACTTCATAAATAAATCTATTTCAACTGTTATCAAAATGAATTTTAAACCTCAATTTAAAGATTCATAATCTAGCAAAAAATAGTGTCCCATTAGACTTCAATAAGCCCTAGGTCCCGAAAAACCTAGATCCGCCCCTGGGCGTCACTATGTTAGTCTAACGAGTAAGACGAAAAGTGCATATGCTGTGGACAGATTGTCGTGTGTTGACTTTTGGTAGCTATTTCTGGCGTAATTGCTATTTAAACTCGAGTGTGCAGAAATTGTCATAGGAAATAATAGGAATGCCAGAATTGCCGTGCAGTTAATTGTACTTCAAGATACGTGTTTCGTTATCCACTAATGATGTAATTCAAATTTGAACAAAATCTGATAAACTTGCGATATATAACATTGGAGTTACGAGGTTTTGATCGCAGACCAATCATATGGTATTCTTTTCATACGTAAAACGAATACACGATGGATATTTTGTTGACACGTTTCCTAAAAACAAAGCAATACTTCTGTCGATGGTTGACATATGTTTCTTGTATTTTTTATTTCTTAATTTAGAGAAAAGTTCAACCGATATGTATAATAATTTAACTACTGGTATTTACTATTAAAGATTAGTTTAATATTTTTTTTAGAGTATTTTGACTATCTTATTTATTATTCATCAGTTCTGCAAATTTCAGTCATGAAAATTGTGTATTTATGTGATGAACCAGTCGTAGAATCTGTATTAGGTATTTCCTGCATGTGCGCAGCTTTTTGTCTCAAAATATAATGACAGGTGTACTTTCAATTCGTTTCAAAAATGGCGGCCCGGTTTGGAGTCTACTAGTTATATGCCGTAGGAATAGACCTTCAGCGGAGCAGACAGACGACGATGTGAAATAAAAGCTGCGGTAAAAACAACGTTCTCGTGCATTTTCTTTTTTCAGTATGAAAATAGTATGTAGCTTATGTTCATCCCGAAGAAAAAAACTTTCCAAGAGCGGAAAAATTTTAAAAATCGATCCGCTAGATTCCGAGATTACCATTAGCAAACAAACAAAAAACAAACATTCTCGCTTTATATACAGTAGAGCATCAATTATCCGAATTTAGATCAACCGAAACGTCAATTAACCGAAAGCTTTCCACTCTGCAAATTTAAATTTTCGCCAGTGCTGTAACGCTGCAATCTTTGGCTATGTCTTGGGCTACTCCAATATTATTTTAGTTGGTGTGCGTGTTTTAGCTGGCAGCACTGGCGCGACCATGAGAGGGTACTTAAGGACGTGCCAATATTTGAACGAATTTCAGGCCCACCAGTGTCCGAGCGGTCTTCGTCCCCGCACTTGATGGATTAGACCCTGAACACTGGGAGTTCGGTCGTGGGTTCACGCCTCGCTCGGTAGGGGCTGGAAGCATGAAGTTTTCCGGATATTCTCCATGTCGATGACGCCTGAATAGGGGCCCGTTTTCCATAAAAGTCCTCCCGGAAGGCATTTTTTCCCCGCGCGCGATTAGGTCATTCTATAAGGCCGGCTCTTCGGTCACATAGCGATCACCCACAAGTCTCTCGGAGTAAAGGTGTACAGTCATAAAACTCCATATGAACCATCATCTACTGTAGAAAAAATAAACGAATTTCATCATGGGATAGTTAATATATTTTTTCGTACATAATCGGTAATCCGAAAAATGGATTTTTCCGAACAACACCAGTCTCCCCAATTGATTCGGATAATCGACGCTCTTCTGTATTAGTATAAATTTAGAAAAATTTCAATACTGTATTTATGTTTATAATCATACAATTCAAAATGCCTGAAAGTTCATCTTGCTTCTAAAGAGAAGATTTCAATAGAAGAATAAAAATAAAATAAATTTAATCTAATTTTTCTTTTATTATTAATATCCGGAGATTTCTCTCAAAAATACCTGTATACAGCTACCGGTATTGACAATCGGGATGAAATTAGCCAGAATTTTCAGTTCAACTTACTTGGCCGGATGGCCGAGCGGTTAAGATGGCAATCTACCGCTCTGGGAACTTGGAATTGAATCCCATAGAATCCATAATGGACTTGCTATAAAGTCCGCCCTCTTACTTGTTAGTACCCATACATCTGAAAGAGTGGAGAAAATCTCAACAAACTTTCGAGCGTCGCTTGCTAATTTAACTCTAAAAATTTCTGTTTGTAGTCTGAAGTTCCAAAGTATGTTGCCTTGTTCATTTTCAACCACGTTCGTACCGCTATTTTTGATGTCGAACTTATTGCACAATGATCGCTGGATCATTTGGACGATTTTATTACGCCCTTTTTTTTATTCAGTTTGTGCGATATTACTGCAACCACTGATCAAGTGATCAACTGTTTCATCCTTATCTTTTGCCGCAACTGTTTTCAATCATCTGCTACTTTCCGAATTTTTGTTTTAATGACATTTGTTGTTATAACCTGCAAAATTTTTTCTTCCAGCTCTTCACTCCTCCTATTTGTACTAGTTTTTTTTTTACCTTGTCGACTTTGTCTTCAGTTTTTTTGATATAATATCCACGTAACGATTATAATTTATATATTTTTTAAATCCATTCGGCCAAGCTTATCCCATTCAAAAAGCGGACACGTCCGGAGAAAAGAGGACACGCGGTAATTAGATACGAGCGGTCGAGCTTACAAAAGTTAAACTTTAGCAAAAACTAAAGTTTATTATATGAACAGCAGAAGATCCGTTTTCGTAGAAAACTCTCCCAAAATTACGTAACGTACTACCGTAATTTAATAATCCGTTATAAAGGCGAATGCAATTTCGATCTAACCCTCCGCGTCATCTTTGAATCTTTCGTAAAAAATATATATATTTTTTAAGTAAAAATTGCAGGTGGCGCAGGAGCTCTTCGATAATTGGTCGGTACTGTAGAAACGTCCGTCACGTGATAGAAACGACGTTATCTTAATGGCCGATTCTGTTTTGTTTGTTTTCGTTCTAATTGCGGGAAGATGAAAACGTTCAAACGAACGAAATTCAAATTTTTCTTTTTTAATTTTTGTAAAATTCGCTAATAACATTTCACAATGGATTCTCTGAGGATGAAAGTTCTCACTAAAGCTGTAAGTGTTGTAAATAAACTGGAATCAATTTAAAATCTGGAAAGTTATCGCAGAATCCATTCGATTTGCATCTGTCACAGACGCTCTTAACCAATTTTATTTATATTTACGGGCAAAATTATGAAATTAAACGTCCATTATCTGCATTTCAGGAAGCATTTAATCATTAATTAAAGCAGACGATCTTATAAGAAAATTGAGTCTGACAGATGCAACTTGAACACTTTTTAAGGAGTATTTCTCATACTTTTACACATTAAAATGCTTATTTGTAATATTTCTGATGCAGAAAACTGTATAAATATGTAATTTTGATAGTTTTTAATGTATAAAATCTTAAAGGAAGCGTCCACTTGCTACTGTGACATTCAAGATTAAAGACCTGGCTCGTGGCCTTAGGAGAGTTAAGGAAAGGGTGTCCACTGTTTTCTTAATTACTTGTGGAGTAATCGGATGACATATGATGAGTGGAATGGTTCCGTGCAATTCGGGGTGGAAAATGGTTTTTACTTTTAATCGGTACTACTGCCTGTTTTCTGTGCTCCATGTTAGTCGGGACTTGCCGTCGCTTGTCTTGAGTTCCGCTTCGGTGTGGTCGTATGTTTAGTTGCTTCCTATTGCTTGCACCTTGGTGTACGGGTGGTCAAGCCTCCACATCCCAACTGTGTAATGTGGAGTACCTGATGAACTGTCGAGTGGGCTACTTGAAGCTGGCATAGTCGCTTGGGCTAGATCAGTGTTTCTCAACCTCTAACAAATCGTCGCCCCCTTCAATGTACTATCGCCCCCTTTAATAAAACCGCTACGTAGTATCGCCTCCTTCACTTCAAAATTCCGATGTCCAGGGCTAAGACTAACGCCAAATTTGTACTGCATTGAATAGACTAGTGACTAGTATAATGTTATTTGTTTAATTATTGTACGATATAATGAATAAAATAACTAATTATTCTTAATATAATGTTTTACTATATTGCCCAGAAAATTGTTTTTTGCCCCCCAAAATATAAGTTGTTTCTAATCGCCCCTCAACATGGAAAAACGCCCACATGGGGGCGATATTGCCCCCATTGAGAAACACTGGGCTAGATGGAAATGCAGTTTTTGGAATGCTGTTCTTTGATCCGAATTGTCTCAGAATCGCTACCACTTGTTGTAGTTTTCCCACTTATCTGCTAAGTGATTAAAAAAATGATAAATACTTTTCTCTTACCTCTGAAATTTTTTCATGGAAAAATTCTTAAGGTTTCAAGTAATTATGGATCTTTTTTCTCTTCACAATAGAGTTTGCAGTTATCTGGCCCTCCATATTGTCTAGCTCTATCAGTCATGTCATAGATTTTTTTACATAAACAGAAAATTTCAAAATAATTATATTCTGTACTTCATATCACTGTACAGTGTTATTAAATAATAATGTGTAAAAATGCAATCACAAATGTTTTTATAAAACATATGGTTATTCCGCAGCTAATGTGTCATGGTAATTGCAGGTGACTTACCAGCATACTTTTGCTAACAATTTTGTATTAAATTAAAACATCACTTTGCACTGTGAAAATTACAATCAAAAAAGAAATCGCATATGGGATGTATTCATGTGATTGCACGGAAAATGCCTTATCTTCAATCTTTGTGTTATCTGGCTTTTTCGTTATTTGGCTTGGCCATTTGCCATATTAAGCCAGATAGTTCCAAGTCTACTGTACATTAATTTATTCATCAAGAACATTAAAAAAGAAAGAACATTAAAATAGAATGTATGGAATATGGCATGTTTTTGTGGCCTTATTTTTATGTTATTTTTATTTTATTCTTATTATATTGTTTATAGATAATCCTCATGTGCATTTTATTTTTGTATTTACATATGCGCAATTCCTGTTTTTGATTTTTCATATTTATTCATCAAAGTTTTCATGTTTTGTATACTTGTTTTCACTTCAGATCTTTTTTCTAAGAGTGCTATTTACTTTTTATTTTTTTTGGCTTTTTCTGCCACAGAGGACACTATGTGAACCTTTTTTTCTGTATCCATCTTGGGTTTGGCCGGGACCATGCTGGGTGCTATTAGGTGACAAGAGATGGGGTCTGACGTATCCTGGAAGACTTTATGTGAAAAATATCTAGAGTTGTTTGCTCGGATTTGATTTTGTATCCTTCGGAGCCTAGGTTGATGTTTTAACCACCGTGGTTGTCCAGCTGTCAATTTCTACTTTACTACTATTACTTCTTACCTGTTTTATTCACTGTTTAGAATTGGCTGCCTCGAGGAGGAGTTGCGATTTATTTACCATTTTAGATTCCTTTTCTATTGTTTCTTGTTTTATTGCATCATCTCAATCTTGCTTCATTTATTTCTTTGTGATGCTAGTGATTCATATGTAATAAATACATTTGTGCATACTGCTATCTTTCCTTGGCTAATTTTTCCTTCTTAGACAATTTGGTAGCTGTGGATTCATCATTTGGCTATCCTTTATCATTATTGTTCTTATTGTCAACATCTAATGTGTAGATTTATACTCGTTACATGAAAGTAAAGACATAATTGTCAGTTATTTTCAACTTCAGACTTGCCCATATTATAGAATAAGAGTTATTGTTAGTCAGTTGTTTGAAATTTAATGAAATAAATTGTAATAATACTTAAAAAATAATTTATTATAAATTGAAAAATAATTTTTAAAACATCTTTGATTTTTGTTATTATANTACTCATTGGTTATTTAAATTTATTGAAATTAAAAGTTATGCACAGAGTAAGATACACTGAATTATAAAGTATTAAATTTAATATGATTAGTATAAAGTACCTTTGATTTTTGTTATTATATTATGCATTGAATTAACAGAGATGACAATGAAATACTATATGTCTAAGTTATTGAAATTAAAAGTTATCGATGCCAACTTACTCTGTAATCACTTTATAAGATATAAAAATTTTAACCAAACCAGGTGCTGTGGCAGTTGAGCCAGTCTTCTGCTTGGGGGATACAGTAACAAATCTGGACAATTGATAAACCTTGGGAATTTTTTGGGGAGTAGTCTGTTTTTGATCATTGGATCAGGTCCCTTGCCACCCCATCATCTCATCGTGGGCCCGATTGAACTCACAATGGGCATGGACAGAAGACCTTATTAGTGTCCATGGGATAGAATGAGTAAAAAATGAAATGAAAAAAAACCTTGTAATAAGTTGCAAGTTTGAAGTATTAACCATATAATTAGCTACAGTGACATTCCATTTATCTGGCATTGTTGGGATCAACACAGTGGTGGGTTATTGAATATGTCACCTTACCTCCAGACAGTAGAGGTTTTTCTGGTTTCTTTCAATTCTCTGGACACAATTTCACATATTTTCACATGTAAAACTGAACAAATCCACCTTTTATGATTGTTTAACATGCCATTTCAACTTTTTCCAGGCTATTCCTACCCTTAGTTAGCTTGAAACAAGAACACTATTCTTACTTTGTGCTTTGTACACTTTTATTGCATATAAATAAAGATGAAATGTAATTATCAAAGTACTGGAACAGTAGTGTACTGTAGCTGTTTTCATGATAATTATTGATTCCAAGTGTACTAAATATTTCTGCTTATTGTATCAAACCTGTACACTAATAGCTAGGTTGCAGCTGACATTTTCATTGCAAAAATGTGAACGTCGGACATTCAGCGCCATCATCCTGTAAGCCTAGAAGTTTGACAGTGGTGTTTGGAATGTCAAGCATGATTCCACTTGCGTTCCAAATGCCATTGTCAAACTTTTAGGCTTACAGGATGGCGGCGTTGAATGTCCAACGTTTTTGTGACAAATGTCAGCCACAACTTTGCTAATATCTTTGGAAAACTTTTAGAAAAATCATGCATGAATTAACTGGTTTTACTTAGCACAGCGTCGTGTCATATCAGCATTTGGTATCTCTAAAAGGAGAACCCATACCTATCCAAAAACTGCATGTTTTGAGCACAAAAATCTTAACTTTGGCCTTTCCTAGTGCCCCTATAACACCCTAAGAAATTATGAAGTGTAAATTACTACAAATGATGTATAAATATGGTCAGGGATGGCCAAACATTGTCATCATAGGAGCCATATATTGGCTGTTAGTGAAATGTGAGAGCCACATCTTCTATTAGAACAGTTATACATATATATTATAAAGTACTATAGTATACAGAAGCTGCTGTAAGGGTTTAGAAGAATTGAAGTATGGCCACCATGAAATGTGGTTTTGTTAACATTAATTAATATTTGGTAAAACTTTTCTGTGTTGTTCAACAAATAAATCTGTTTTAGCACTGTAATGATATTTCATGCATTAAAAGTTAATAGTTGTTATGCTATTGTATTGATGTGTACTTTTTTTATGAATTAGGATTTTATTCAGTGGCAAAAGATTGGAGAAGGTGCATCTGCCTCTGTATATAGAGCAGTGTACACTGGCAATAACATGGAAGTGGCAATTAAAATGGTACAGTTTAACTAATTTATGTTTTGTTGAACATATAAATACTTGTATAAATTGGTAATGGAATAATATGTGTTTATTCATTATGTTTATTTAGATCGATGTTCATAAAATGAGAGGAGAAATGGATCGTATAAGTCAAGAAATCAAGATACACAGATGTTTAAATCACCCTTCTATTGTAAAGGTACAAAAATTTTGAGAAGTTTTAATATTTTAAATAATAAATTCAAAAATTATTTTGTAATTTTAAATCAGGTTTATATATATTTTTTTATTATATTATTTAATTATAAGATTTTGAATTGTGTGTGGTAACATTGGAGAAGTACATGTGCTATTTCTAAAATTTCTCTAACTTATATACAGTGGGTGATCGGTTAACGAACATAATCCGTTCCAAGACTTTGTTCGTTAACCGATTATCGATTTACCATAGGTTTCTATGGGAATTTGATTAATTCGTTCTGGAGACCCCCAAAAATAAAAAAAGCATATACTTTTTTACTACGTTTATTCATATGTATATACATATATACACGGTCTTGCATTTTTATTAGTCATGTTTTTTCTGTTTGTGGGGGTTAAAGAATCTATCCAATGTCGATTGCTTTTCTGTCTTATTCATGATTTTTCAGAAGTAATTAATAGCATTGTAATTGTAGAGATCCCTAGGCCTATTAACCTCAACTTGGTTTGGATGCCATTTTAAGACCGTTGTTCTGACATCTTCCTACTTCTTCAAAAGATCTTTAATAGCAGATATCGGCATAAATCCGCATTTTCAGAAGAAAACGTAAAAGAATTGTTTCTGTCAGAAATACAAAAGGCTGGAATTACAAGGGAGAGTTTCAAAGTTCGGGGGAATACTATCCGATCAGTATATACTGGGTAGAACGTCGATGTCGACGTCTCCCGCGCTCCGAAAAGTTTCGAATTGTTGCCTGAAGACAAAGGAAGACCAATCGGTATTCGTTATTTTACGTCGCTTCTTGTGTTTGTTCAGTGAAGTGTTCGTTATCTGAACATATGTTCGTTGTCTGATCATAAAAATCTTTTGCGAAAGTGTTCATTATCCGATTTGTTCGTTAATTGATCTGTTCGTTAACCGATCACCCACTGTAATTATATTTCTTCAGTTTTAAGATGCCATCAATTATATGACAGATTTACCAGTTTAAAATTGAACACATAAATATTGTTTATTAACTGACAATATCATAAATTTATAAATTTTTTCATAGAATTATCTATAAAGGCCAATTCTCACTATTGCAGTATAGTGGTGCCTCGTATAACATACGCCTCGAACAACGGACTTTCTGTTTGGCTGTTACGTGACTCGAGCAACGGACTGGCTGCGAACAAAGGACTTTCCGTTCGGCAGTTACGTGGGGTGAACAACAAACTTTCTGCGAACAAGTGTGAATGATGTTTTCACTCTTTTGCNTTAAATTTATTCTTATTTATTTTATAAAGAAATGTCTCTCAATTATTATCGGAATAGGATTTCCCCACGCGTGTTTATCCGCGTGTAAAACAACTTATAAACTGGTGTCGGAATCCTGACGTGGGATAAAGACTTCGCCGTCCATATCCTATCCATTAGTTTTAATTGTTTATGGTTTATTAAATTTATTCTTGTTTATTTTATAAAGAAATATCTCTCAATTATTATCGGAATAGGATTTCCCCACGCGTGTTTATCCACGTGTAAAACAACTTATAAACTGGTGTCGGAATCCTGACGTGGGATAAAGACTTCGCCGTCCATATCCTATCCAATATTTAACAGCCCTCCTATAAAAAAGTTACGAGAGCCGATCTCACGATTGAGCGCCTGTAAGCAGCGTAATCTTAGTTTACGTCCTGGCTGATCTCACAACAGAACACGCCTCAAACAACGGACTTTCTGTTTGGCTGTTACGTGACTCGAGCAACAGACTGGCTGTGAACAAAGGACTTTCCGTTCGGCAGTTACGTGGGGTGAACAACAAACTTTCTGCAAACAAGTGTGAATGATGTTTTCACTCTTTTGCCATTGCCAATGACAATCTGCTATTTTTATAATATATTAGTATTATTAGAATATATTATTAGTATATCTGAAGTACAGAGCTCCTGTTGGGATTCAACTTGCTCCCTTGTTTATTATGTACATCATGTGAGATCCAAATAGCCCCTGGGTCTAAATAATAATTTAAAAATAATATTTAATTTTTGACAAAATCTTCTTTTGTTTTGGTGAGAAAATAACGAAAGTTTAGGCGTGGGAAAAGGGAGATAACAGATTCACTTCCTTCACAGAAGAGAACATCCTCTGTTTTTCCCTTATCCGTTAAAAATCTCGCTTCGATGGGAAATATCTACCCCTCATTTATCCCCCTTCTCATCCGTTCACGTGGAAGAATTCTAACATAATGATTGGTCGTCAATGACAAGATATAGAGGAAATTTAGCAGAATTCGGGGAGTTTGTCAGAAAATCTCATAGAGGAGAGACGTCTCCATATTTGCTTCTAAAGGCCAATGCCTATGCTACGAGCCATACAATATACGAAGGATTAAGTCTAAAGATATAAATATATCCAGTTAAGTTGATCTCTCCAGAGGAAAGAATTCTTGGAGTGAAACAAATATGTCATATACAGAGCCGAAGTTTAAAGACAACAATCAGGTTGTATGTTTATAAATGATTTTGTGAGCTCTCTCTCTCTCTCGACCTCATATCGGTTATAGTATAAGTCCGTATCTCTCTTGACGTATAGATTGAAATTCGCATTTATTATCTCTCATTTATATAATATTTTGTATTAGTTTTAATTGTTTATGGTTTATTAAATTTATTCTTGTTTATTTTATAAAGAAATGTTTCTCAATTATTATCGGAATAGGATTTCCCCACGCGTGTTTATCCACGTGTAAAACAACTTATAAACTGGTGTCGGAATCCTGACGTGGGATAAAGACTTCGCCGTCCATATCCTATCCAATATTTAACAGCCCTCCTATAAAAAAGTTACGAGAGCCGATCTCACGATTGAGCGCCTGTAAGCAGCGTAATCTTAGTTTACGTCCTGGCTGATCTCACAACAGAACACGCCTCAAACAACGGACTTTCTGTTTGGCTGTTACGTGACTCGAGCAACGGACTGGCTGTGAACAAAGGACTTTCCGTTCGGCAGTTACGTGGGGTGAACAACAAACTTTCTGCAAACAAGTGTGAATGATGTTTTCACTCTTTTGCCATTGCCAATGACAATCTGCTATTTTTATAATATATTAGTATTATTAGAATATATTATTAGTATATCTGAAGTACAGAGCTCCCATTGGGATTCGTCTTGCTCCCTTGTTTATTACGTACATCACCTCAGTGCAGGGTATTTACATTTACTCAAGTGTTGTGCAGATCGTGGCTTCTAAAAAAACAGAAAGGTGATTTCAATTGAAACAAAGCAAGAAATCATCAGAAAGAATGAAAGTTTACAAAAACTTCCTTGTCGAATGAGGAGAGGTTCAGTTTACCAATACTTATTATCCAAACAGAGCTGAGGCCAACAGGATCAATAATCTCTACAATGATACCTTTGCCCGTCATTTCTGACAGGTGTTGAAGAAGAAAGAGAAACAGACCACCTTGGACATGTTTTTCAAGAAGCCAGCAGGCAAAAATCAAAGGATGGAACAAGAGGAGTTGACCCTGCAAGCTCTGGTAGCCTCTCCTGAATCTGACTCCGATTAAAAAACAATAAAAAGAGACCTGCTGCAATGTGTAAAAAGTCTGTATCTGTATGCATGTGTGAAGAAAGTGTTCCCCCATCTCTTCCTCACAACATCTGACTACCCAGCATAATTGGTGACTGCTCCATTTTCATTTTTTTTATTTTATGGTACAGTACGGTTATTTTATGCTGCGGAACGAATTATATGTTTTAACATGTATTTCTATGGGAAAATGCATTTTGTATAACGGACTTTTCACTTAACGGACGTGCACTTGGAATGGATTAAGTACATTATATGAGGCACCACTGTACTTGTTTTATATGTGCTGCATTCCTGCAGTGGAGAAACTGTGTAGCAGTTTGCATAGGCACCCGAAAGTATAGTTGAGCACTGTGACTGAGTTGAAATTTTCTTAATGTAGAAAACTGTTTATTCTGCTCAGTTACAGAGCAGAATAAACACAGTTCTAGATGATAATGCAATCTAAATTCTGCCTTGAAACTGTGATAGTGTGAACTGGCTTTCACTTTTATCTTCACCATAAAACTAAAATAAATTAACTCAAAAAAAATTTATATCAATATCCTGCAGCATTGTTTCTGCAGATACATTTTTTATTTTTATGCTGCCATCATAATGCAGTTTGTACTTGTTTAAAATATCTGCAAACAGTCAGAAATTTAGTTACACTCATCACACGAAGTATTATCAATGCTGAAAACTGAAGTGAGAGCAAGGTGAACAGACAATGAAGTCTGCTTGTATGCAATTATTATTGTTGAATTTTCTTTATTAACAGTAAAATTTATATGCTGAGATGGAAAATAATGGAGGTTGCAATCCAATTAGAATAGTAACAACAAAATTACAACTTGTTCATTTCATTTAGCCAATGATAAAATTGATTTCATTATACTTTGTTCACTTAAAATTGCAGTTTTCAAGAACCTATTGATGATAAGTGAAGACTTACTGTATGTTAGCTTTATTATTATTATACAGTATTTAGTGGTTTATACACAGTTGATACCGGTGACTGTGTACTATGCCGGACCAGAGTCAAGGCATAGCGACCAAAAACAATAATTAAATAAGTGTGTCAGTGTCTGTATTCACGAATTTCCTAACAATGTGGCATGTATTTAATATAGTGGCCTTCTGTAGTGTGATGTATGTGTTTCTATTCAATTGTAATGATCCCAGGCTTTTGTGTAGTATATGGGGGGTATCACACCTGTACAGGAGAGAATGACAGGTACAATAAGCACCCTATCCATCCTCCACAGATGTCTTATTTCCTGGGCGAGTTCTGTGTACTTGCTAATTTTTTCAGTGCATGTGTTTTGTACATTGTGATTGTTTGGAATGGCTGTCTATAATGTATGTGATTTTATTGTGTTTGTCAATGAGTGTGATGTCTGGTCTGTTGTGGTGAATTGTTTTATCTGTAATTATGGCTCTGTCGTATTACAGTTTGTGCGTGTTGTTTTCCAACAGTATAGTTTGTGTGTGTCGTTTATTATTATTATTATAAAGAACTGTCTTGCAAAACTCAGTTATTGAAAAAGTAATAGAGATAGGCTATGAGTTAAATCATCAAATTTTATTATTTTTATTAATATTTATAAAAAAAACAAGTGAAGTTTAAAAACAAAGTTTTGTCGAAGGACTTGAAAATTTCAGTTTTGCAAATGATAATGCAGATAAATGCTCATAAATAAATTTTGTATCGGTGGTGCAAACTTCATTTTGCAGAATCAAGAATTCTACAACATATTTAGACTATTCACAAAAATATTTATTGTAGAATTTCATTAGATGGCAATTTTACGAAAATTAATTTGAAAACGTAGTCTGTCCAAAATTGGTAACCACTATTTATTCACTTCTTGTGTTCCAAAATACAAACAATTGAGGACCTGATCTTTCTTTTTAGACTGCTTGGCCATCAAGTTTAAAAACATTCCTTTTAAAAAACACAGAAAAATATCCAATTAAAAATATATATGTTAAAATTATTATTTTGACAAGGTAAAAATTAGCCATTTTGATATATTATTATGAGAATGTATAAAACAAATTTGTACCATGATAATACTTATGTTCTGAAATAAGTAAAATAAAAATAAAGATTGTTTTAAGAGAGTTATTTTCATCAAATTTTTAGTTTTATTATGTAACATTTACTACATTTTGGCTTTCTGAAAAATCAGATAAAACAAGAAGTGTTTCATGAATGTTGAAAGATTGGAGATTACTGTATTATGGAATTATTATTTTTTACGAACTCATATAATAAATACAGCTAACCCAATAGCATGAATTTATATGCCAAACCACATATATACCTTGCTTGGGTAAGAGGTAAGCTGACTGACAATTACGAGGATGTCGAGTGCAATGTTAGCACTGTTAGTTTGCACTGTTAGTTTGCACTGTTAGTGGACCAATATGGTTCCGTCTAAATTAGTGTAGAAGTGAAGGTTGGTTGGAGGTCTGAGTAGTTTAACTGGCAACACATCTGCATGGTAAGCAAGAATTGTGGGTTCAAGTCTGTTCCAGATCAATCTTTTCTTCCAGAATATTCTAAAAATTAAATTTATTTATAGTTATTATATTTATCAAGAGATTGTAGCCTGGCGCCGGCCTCCTGCCAAATTGCTGGTAATTATTTAGCTTTATGGCCCAATAAAGAATCCTGATCTTCATTTTACATATAAGAACTTGTAATTCAATATGATGAAGTTTTTTGATTATTAAAGGATTAACTGCATAAAAAAAATGGAAAATTATATTTATTTATGTTCTTTATTTATTTTTCAATTAATTATTTTAATGTTATACACTTAATATACAATCTATTATCAGAGAGACTTTGTATTAATTGCATGTAAAGCATGAGAACTAATCTGTTCATGTGCCTTAAATGCAATTAATCTATAATAAATTATAAGATAACTATTTAGAAAATTTACAATAAAGAATATTTTTATGAATTTTTGGAAATTTAATGTATTAGAGATTTAGTAAAATTCCATTTTTTAAAGGCTGCATTGTATATAAAACAATTGTAAATTGATATCATAATTGTTAATACAGTAGAGCGTCGTTTATCCGAAAGTCGGTTATCCAAAAGAATTCCAGTCGGCAAATTTAAATTTTCGCTAGTGCTGTGACGATGCAATCTTGGGCTACTCCAATATTTTTTTGTTGATGTGTGTTTTTTAGCTGGCAGCACTGGCACTTTTGTGTGGTGTTTTTCCGAGGACTGTGTTGTGCTGAATCGAATGTTTTTGATACTAGATTAACTTCTAATGTATAATTCTTTTATTTTTATATTTTTCAATATATCTATTTTTTTTGTAAAAAATAAAGAGATAATTTTTAATGATACAATAGCCACGATTATTATTTTAAAAAGTTTACATTAGGCTTAACATCGACGAAAATTCAATGCAAAGCGACACGCAACAGAGAAAAATTTCAACACAGGATAGGTTAATATATTTTTTGTACATAATTGGTTATCCGAAAAATAAGTTATCCGAACAACCCCAGTCCCCAATTGATTCGGATAAACGATGCTCTACTGTATTTAGTTTAATTATTTAAATGAATATGATTTTTAATAAAAGTATAAAATAATTTAAATTATGTTAAAAATTTTCAGTTATATAATGACTTTGAAGATGCAGAGTTCAAATATCTCGTCCTGGAATATTGTCATAAAGGCGATTTGCAAAAATATCTTGAAGCTAGAAAAAAGCCTTTATCTGAGAAAGAAGGTAATTATTAATTAATTAATAATATATTTTAAAAAATTTATCAGTGTTGATTTACCTTTTGATGCAGATACAACACACAAAATGTATGGAACATACACACTAATACATGTTAAACACTTAAGCTGGACCATTTTAACCATTAGGGCCTGAGAAATGGGGACCTATTCCTTTATGGGCGTCTTAGTAGGGTGAAAGACCGAAGTGCCAGATGGAGTCCAAAATACTCAAAAGCCTAGGGGTCCAACCATAGATTAATATGTTCTGCATACTTGCAAATACATACATTAAACTAAAGAAAATATAGACAAAAAATGCATAAATACATGAAAGTATTTAGACGTAAGCATACAAAAGTACAAACATCATGTTTTGTGCTCAGTTGTAGGATATTCATATAAATTATACTAATAGTATAAGTGTTGTAGAAAACTGTAGCTAATACAAGATTTTCATAAAGTTACAAGTATAAAGATGCAATTGGATGGCCAGAATGGTTATGGTGTAAGCGACTGCTTGGGATTGGGGATCAAATCTAGATGATTGAAAAATTCCAGGAATTTTTCAGGGGGTAGAGGATAAGTTTCTGTAAGTTATCATAAAAGTTCAGTTTACTTATAACATCTTTTGAGGAATTTTTAGAATATTTTAAACTTCAAAAATATATATACTGTATATATATATATTAGTTCCAAATTGAGACATATCTTGTTATTAACCATAGCAATCTTTTTGTAAACAGTTTCAGAATATGGAACATAAACTACTAGAATATGTATACAGATTTCATATGCATAAAATAATTTTTTAAATTATATTTAAAGTATCTATGCTTTATAACCAACTTTTAGATGTAACCTTTAAATAGAATAAAAAATAATTGGAATTGAATTGACTTAGAAATAACATATATTCTTTCTAGCCATAGATGTTATTTTTACAATAATAAAACAATTTAAAGTGCCCTCAACATTCTTTCATGCAAAAGTTAAATTGCTAGATAACATAGTTGCTTAAAAATTAATTACATTTCACTTTTTTCTTCTGCAGATATTAAAAAAATTATGACATAAACTACTACTATTTTCCTAGAAATGTTATTTTGTTTTTACAATCATAAAATGCATTTTTGTAGAATTATAAATTGCATTTTTGTAGAATTATAAATTGCAGTTTATGAACTATAAAGTTACGATTTACTTGTTATGTTAGTATTGAATGATTTAAGACGTGAAATAACCACGATAATGTATAAATTGCTGCTACGTATATCTGAATTGTCATAATTCTATTGTTGTCATAGTAAACTAAAGATTGCACAGAAAGTTTTTATAAGTGGGCATGTTACAAGGTTAAAAGAAGCAATTATTAGTATTTAAGATAATTATTACTATTTATATATTATTAATGTTAATATAAATAATTCATTTGATTTTTTTTGTGGTCAGAACGTGCTACTTTTCTAAATTACATTAAAATTTGACAAATTTATTACATACACATGTATAACTTTAGATTAAAATAACTAATTATTTTCAAAGAAGACAATTGAAACCAAGCTATAACTGAAAATAATATACATATTTCTTTGGTAGAAAGATGGAAAGATACAACTTATAAGTAAATCAAACAGCTGCTTGATTTATTCTTTTATTCAACAAATTCCACTTGTACATATTTCATTTTAAACTGTTAAATGAATTGTTATAAACTTATGATAATCAGATATTTGACTAAAAATATTTCTTTTATTCAACATTTTTGTTTGGTTAACAAAAATGTTGAATAAAAGAAATATTTTTAGTCAAATATCTGATTATCATCAGTTTATAACAATTCATTTAACAGTTTAAAATGAAATATGTACAAGTGGAATTTGTACACATTTGAGAATTTAAATAGTTCCTTTCAATTGACTATAGAATTTTTTTGAAATTATGGTTGATTGAAAGGAATTATTTAGATTTTAGTTTGAATTTGATCAAGAATTCCAGTTGGGTTTGTTCTACATCACTTTAAATTATCAAATTGTTCTAAGCTAAAGATGGTCAGATAATTGACTAAAAATGTTTTTTGTAAAGTATTGACTACTTGAACCAAGTAGCAGTTTGATGTACTATCAGTAATGTGCCAAATTTTATGAACTTTTAATTAATTACTTTTCTAGTTATTATAGAATATAACATAAGGAAAGTGATTGATCAAAGTTTGACTCCTCCAGTTTTTGCATTTGATGACATTTTGACACTCCAGGAGCTCAAAAATGTAAAAAAAATAATAAGTTACAAAATTCTGTGTGTTAGCGTCTGTTTGTCATTATATCTTATGACTAGATAAACCAAAATGTTGGAAACTTGGAAAGTTTATTTCTATGTATGTGGCATTGATGCTATTAAATTTTAGTAAAGATTGAGTTAATGGGGAGGTAGAGGGGATCATGTATGTGTCACATTTCCCTCTACCTCCTCACTGTCAAAATGTATAAAATCATCAATATTTACTTATCATTGTTAGAATCATTTAATAAAACACTTATTTGAAATATTAATAACTTAAATATTTACATTATTGTAATTATTTAATGATAACAATAACAATAATTACTAATTACTTTCATTTATCTATGCTATTAATTATAATAGATTTTGTTTTGTTAATTAACCATACTGTTTATTATGTTAAATACTTTGGTTTCTTATTTATTGATTAATGAATAAGTATTTTAATTATATAATCTCTAAATTTCTCTACAAAATTATATCACATTGTGTCCTATTGTGATTTTCATTAATTCTTTAAAACATTTGTAGCTTGTTCTATTTTTCATCAATTGGTGGACGGAACGATCTATTTACATTCCCAAAACGTAATACATAGAGACTTTAAGCCATCGAATCTTCTTCTCACTCGTAACCTAGACATTGTAAGTAATAATTATTATTATTTATAGTTGCGTGTTGCGTGTTTAGTTGAAAGCACATTTTAAAAAATTACTTTTTACATTTGAGTTAGTTATTATACAGTTCTGAAGGGATTATTGATCATTCTTTTAAATAAAAATTCCACAATGTTTTGATGGCATATTAAAATCGCATGTAAACAGAAATGATTCAATTGTTGATTTAGAAAAGGCACCCATAGATCTCTCAATAGGGAACTTCAATATAAATATACTTTTTTTGGGTATGTCTAAACATTTAAAAGAGCTAATTAATAATGTATGAAGCAATAGTTAATAAGTGTAAGGTGTTAAGAGGAGAGTTTAATAACAGGAAGGTGTTAAATTATTTAAATTCAGAAATGGTATTCCATGAGATTGATGAAAACTATTGTTTAACTTTCAAGTTACTTTCAAGTTAGAGAACAATAATAAAATAAATTTTCATATAATGATTTTTAAACAATAATTAGATGAACAAAATAGAATTTTAGCATCCTGCTGGATGTTCTTACAATCTGTCAAGTCTTTATCATATAAGAAAGTTCATTTCTTTGTTTGAATGAGTTGGCTGTAAGAGAGAGAGAGAGAGACTTTTTTCTTTATCATGTGAGGATCATAGGCTTGATTTGTGCTAATTTAAGGAAATTTTTGACATATTTCTTCGATCGTTAAGAAAACATCCTGCAGAAAATGGATTGAATATTACCCTTTCTGTCAACAACTGTTTGAGAATTATAACAATCTTGTGCTATTGTTAAAGGAGGAGAAAGTCAACTGTCAAACAAGTAAACAGACCGAATCTTACAAGTCTTGAATCAAATATGGTCATGACAGCTCCTAAATGATGATGTAGTGTCATTGATAGAAACCTCTGACATCACACCTGCAGAGTTGTCACCAAACAGTTGATCACTTGATCATTTTACCAGGCCAAAATTGAATATAAGAATGAAGCACCTGCACTTTGGGGAATTTGTCACTGGGGAGTGACCTCACCAGATCCAACGGCCACCAGAAAATCCACTTACCATAGTCGGTGGACATCAGTGAACTTCTTCAATGACTATAGCAGGTGGACATCCCCTGTGACTGTACAGAGTGGATGCCATAGAAGCGGACCGCCATAGGAGAGGACCATTCTCATACTCCAGAGGGACTCCACCCCAGGCTCCAACTCATTGTATCCCAGAACTGCCACTCTTGTGGAAGCGATTGACACTGCTTTCGTTCAGCTCTCAACCTCCATAAGAAGACCGACAACGATCCGACACTCCGAGAGGTCAATGAATTGGTTAGCTACTAGAGGTAAAATATTTAAAGAATTGTAAACTCTCTCTCTTGATCTACATTGCTTAGTAGATAGAACCATAAAACTAGTATCTCTAGAATCACACGCATGCGACATACTCTGTTGTTTAATTGCTTTAGTTGTATGTGATGTAGTTCTGTATATGCTTAGATTAGAGTTATATTAAACTTTTGTTATGTTAGTAATCTGTCTACCTGTCTTTCTTGAACTTTGGACACCCTATCGACTTGCACTCCCCAATTGACAACTAGCCGTCCTATTTAAAGTTATTCAGTGACCAAGCGAGTGGGTTTTACCAACCCTACGCTGCTCAAGTGTTAGAAACTCCCCCTATCCACAGCTTATCTCACAATTATATTGTTTCATTTCTGTTTTATTTATCAAATAATAATAACAAAATATGTAATAGTAATCATATAACAGCTGTTAAAATACAACTGTTTAAATAACTTTGAAAAATTTAAATAGAAAAAAAAGAGTATTATGTTAATTTTAAGATTAGTTTATACAGAAAGCAAATAGCTGGCAGAAAGCAGAACAAATATTAGGTTGATTCAAAAGTTCCAGGACACAAACACAAGATACTAAAACATAGAGACATGGTCACTCCTCAAAATAAAGGCAATTGTTAGCTAAGATCTACCCATCTTTCTGCAAGTTGGTGGATACCTCGGCAATATCACTTGGCTGGATGCCAAAACTCACAAACCCCCCTATTTTCAACATCATGCACTGTATTGCTGAAACGCCCTCACAGAAAATGTGTCAACAACCAGAAGAGGTGAAAATCTGATTAAGCAAGTTCAGGACTGTAAGCTGGGTGAGGCAAAAGTTTGAACTGTCCAGCTCCTGTAATTTTTCTTGGACCACTCTGGAATTGTGTACCAGGGCATTATCATGCTTCAGCAGTGTACATTTTGGTTAAGCAATGCTGGACAGCAAGTGCAAAGGGTTTAAAACACCTCAGTATAAAGGTTGCTGGCCATTAGGAACTCCCAATGCACTGGACCATCCATATTACTCAAAATGCACAGCATGACTTTTTGTTTGAACTGTCCTTATTGAACCACTTGTGCTGGCACTTTACCTGGTCAGAGCCACTGGTTTCCTCTGTTAGGATTTCTGAAAAAGATTCATTTTTTATTTCCCATTACAATCATGCATCAGAACCTGTCATTTTTGGATTTTGCAACATGTGATTGCAAACTTTTATCCTCCTTTGTGTCTGCTGTTCTGTCAGTTTGTGTGATACTATTCAAGGTCTTCTGCGAAAGCCAACGTGTTTCAAATTTCAAATGCCAAAAAATGGTTGATTGTAAAGCCCTCAGTTTGGAAGACAGTCAGCAAGTGCTGCCGTCTTGTTCCTGTTGAACAGCTTGGAGCAATGCTTAGTCATCAATGGTTGATGGTTGTCCATACTGAGGTTTGTCTATGATACTGATATTCCCAGAGTTGAAGTGGCAGAACCATTCAGTTGTAGCTGTCTAATTGCTACTTCAACTTAATTTGTGAAATAGAAGGACTTCTATTTCACAAATTACAAACACAATCTGAAACACAGGGAGTTATTAAATCAAAATCAATAACTGACGATCCCAAACTAGAAACAAATGTATATTCACCTGCTTCGTCACCTAACATTCTTCCATTTAACTATTAAATTTTTATTGAGGCAGTATTGAAGCATCTTTTGACTTCTACTATTCATGATAGCATCCTTAGATATCCTACTTCTCTTAGCAAGATCAATACTAAAAGCATCACCGGTGTAGTCAGGGTGAGCTTTCCTTCACCCACTCACATATTGAAATCACCAAATAATCAAATTAGAATCTTCATTAAAGTGAAAATTAATTAAAATCTCAAAAATTTCCTGCCAACTTTGCTCATGCATATAAACAAAACATAAAAATTCACCCATGGGAAATATAATATCAATGAAAACTAAAAATTTATCTCTATAAATTACTTTATAAGAAAAACTTACTCTGATAAATAACTATTATCCAGCTTTAAATCTACCACTATTACAATCCCTAAAAGCATTACCAATAGTACAATTATAATCTGATAAAACCTCCAAATTACTTTTATTACTATTAGAAAAATACCAGGTTTCAGATAAAGAAAAATTACATCAAATTGCGATACATACTTCCAAAATAAATTCGGCTTATTTTTAATACCAGCTCAATTCCAAGCCATGATAGAGGCAGACTGGGCCAGAGATTGCTATGTAGAGATAGGAATAATTTTACCCAATTCCTCATCAAATCTGTATTTTAATCCATCAATAATTACTTTGTCATAAGTTAAACAAATATTATGAGCACCTTCAGATTTCTTTTGTCTTCCAAACAGCCCTAACTTATACCTAATTTCTTTAATCATTGTGAAAAGTCTTTGTTTACGAAGATACATTCAAATTACGAAATTCTACAGCAGCTTTTTTAAATGCTAATTTATCATTAAAAGAACTAAACTGACAAATTATTATTCTAGACTTATCTCCAAATTTTTTACCTACTCGTCTAGCATCTACATATTGCAACAGAGGTAAATTCAACTTATTTGTAGCAAAAGATTTAACTGTCTCCAAGGTGTCTATTGCTGATTCTCCAGCCCCTTCCTCCAAACTGTGTGTAACTACATTATTAATTCCATTGATTATCCATATAATCTATCTCTCATTTTATATTTGACACTTTCTTGCAGATATTATCAATGAGAGAAGAACTCCCCTTCTCTGACCAAAAAACCTGCACCCACTCTTGTCTCAATATCGACTAATTAATCTGACCTTAAAATCAATGAGTGCCTCATCCACATTCTTATTTAATCCATTCTGTAAGATGTTTAAGTTGCCTTATAAAATCCTTCACTTTATTATTAAGAGCTACATGCATACACAATAATAAACGAACACCTTCCACTACATCAAAGCTCTGATTTTATAATAATTCTACAACATGCTCATCTTGACCAGGACTACCCATTCTAGGTTTACTTGGTGTTCTTTCTGGAACAGTCAGGGAACAATTATTATCAAACCATTATGTCTCAAGGAGTAAAGAGGAAGACAAACATCTTCCTCTTTACTCCTTGAGACATAATAAACAGAAGGGCTTACCTAATAACAGAAGAAAAATTAATTATCACTTCGAAACAGTGGGTAGTGTCCCCATAAACTACAATATTATTAACCTTTAAATATACAAGTTGAGTATTGAATTAATCTGACCGAAACATGATCAAGAAGTGCACTTGACATGGGTGTATGAAATGCACTACTGCACACTGTCCATGTGTTTTCCATTTGTTGTCATTACTGCAAGCATTTTTGTATTATTTGTTAATTTACAAAGTGATTCTACTCCCATAGTGGTACAAACTCTGTATAAAGATGGATTCCTCACAAGAAAGGAATGTCGATGGAAATGGGAATGCTGCAGTGTCAATGTATGTCGATTTACCAACTGTAAAAAATTTAGAAAGTAGATCATTTTAATATTAATTGAGTGTTTTTTACAATAAAAATTTGGAAAAATTTTAGAGTAAGATTGCCCTACACTTAATACATTAACTTTTTGTATGGTGATATCTTGCAAGATATTGAGTGTGTTTAGTGTGTTTCTGACGAGTGAGTATGCCTTAGTTATGTGAGAAGCCAGGGACGTAGAACTAAGTTCACGCCGCTTACGGGCACACGATCGTGAGATCGGCTCTCTAACTTTTTATAGGAGGGTGATAAAATGTTTAAAAACGATCTAAAGGGTGAATTCTAGATCTTGTCAGGCCCTGACACCAGTTTATCTACTTCTCGTAACGCGGATAAACACGCATGAAATTTATGCCATAGATCTGATTCGGAGAATCGACATGAGACATTTCCTTGAAAAAAATATAGAAAATTTAATAAACAAAATAAACAATACTATACAGAATAGGAAATAATCAAATAATCCAAAACAATCAATCGAGGGGCAAACAATCAAATCAATCGCGACGGGAGAGAAATGTATTCTTAACCTATACCGGGTCGAGAGAGAGAGCTCACAATTCATTCATAAACATACGACCTGTTTAGTTGGCATTGTCGTCTTCTATATTGGCGAAGGTACTTCGTTGATAACTTCTTGGATTTCGGTTCAAGAGAGGTCTGGATAGGCACAAATATTAGTTATATCTTCTAGGTTTAACTCGACGTTAATTCGATAGGAGACGACTATGGTGTTGGTCTTCTGTGGCATATGTGTGGAGTCCTTTCCACTCTCCGATCTACAGGCGAACTCCTAAGGGCGTTAGCCTTAGAGAGCAAATGAGTGGAGTCTTGTCACTCTCGGATCTGCCGACGAACTCCCCAAATTCGGCTGAACTTTGATTATATCTTCGGATTTATAACCAATCATCATATTAGGATTCTTCCACGTGGATGGATGGGAAGGGGAAAGAAATGAGGGGTAGACAGTTCCCATCGAAGCGAGATTTTAACAGATAAGGGAAAAACAGAGGATGCTCATACTTCTGTCAAAGGAAGTGACTCTCTTATCTGCTTTTCCACGCTAGAAAAACATTATTTTCCCATCAAAATGAAAGAATATTTTTCTGTAAAGATTTTACTTTACTTCTAAATTATTATTTTAGACCCGGAGCTATTTGGATCTCACAGTTACTATAAATTTTTTTGCATTATATTTTTGTTAAATTATGTTTGTTCTATTATAAATGGAAACTTGCTAATTTGCAATTTTTAAAAAAATGTATCTCTTCAAAAATATGTACTCAAGGAGCATCCACATATGTTTATTTTCTTCATAAATTTTTCTTATGTGTATATAGAAAAACAATTATTATCAAACCATTGTTTTTTTAATAAAAACTTGTTTAGAAAATAATTTGATATTATAGAAGAATTAATTTTTAAATTGATACAGAAAATAGCAGATTTTGGCATGTCGGCAATATTTCAATCTAACGACGTGCATATGACGTTGTGCGGAACGCCAAATTTTATATCTCCGTAAGTATTTTATATAAATACTCAAATCCAAAGTTAATTTTACATTAGTATTTATTTAAATATTTAAAAAATTCTTATGCCTAATCATTTATTTCATGAACTATAGAGAGATGTTAACCAAAAGAAGACATGGATTTAAAACGGATTGCTGGAGTTTGGGGTGCCTGTTGTATACGCTGTTAGTCGGCAAACCTCCGTTCGATACCAGAAACGTGAAAAGTACTTTTGCCCGAGTCATGAAAACCGACTACAAGATTCCCGAATTCTTGAGCATTGATGCTAAAAATCTGATTGAGGCCCTTCTGCAAGAAGAACCAGAAAAAAGAATTGATTTGCAAGGTATAAAAATATGTAAAATTTTGTTTTTATCACTATAAAATTATTATTAAATTAAAAATTAACCCACAATAGTCCAGTGTCCTATTTACAGGACAGTATAGCATGTTAATTAACAAATCTTTGGTGAATATTTTTGTTCACACTTGAAGTGTACATATCTGCACTTGAATTGTTTTATTTCACTTCTTTATTTCATTTTTTATAGTGGGTACTGCTCAGGACAATTCAACATTTTTGTCTATACTCTACAGTTTTTCATCTGAATATAATTGTTTTGTAAATAACCGAAGTAACTTCTAGCTTTTTTATAAGAATTATTGTTGAAGGTTTTGTTTGTACTACTAAATTATTTTTTTTTTTTTAGCAAAAATTTTTATCTGGCATAGAATGTTTGCAAACCTAACTGTTCTATAAATAGGACACTGGGCTTTAGGATATAGTAATTTATAATTTATCATACATTCAAGTTATCACCGGAATGGTTTAGCTGAGGAAATATATATTGAAAAAGCTTTAGGCAGTAGAATTGTAGAGAATATGCAGTGTGCATTGTGAAAAATTAAGAGGACTGTTGAATTTCTTTTGATTTTTTTTTAAGTCAGGCAAGGCCAACATACAGTCCGCTTAATGAATTTATGCAGCCCATGATTAATCTTTCAATATTAGCTACTCAAGTCCGAATAGCTCGATGAAAAATTCTGACTCCTTAAAAAAAAAAAAAAAGATCAACAACTCACTGTGTTTAGAGTTAACCTCCCATTACAAATCTCTTAAGTACAGCATAGAGTGTTGATAAAGTATGATAATGTAAAAAATGTATCTGTAATCTCTATGTACAATTTAGTCTCTATGGGGTGACACCACAATGAGATCTTGCACCACCTCAAAATCTTTCTAGGGCAGCTTCTGGTTCGGCCCGTGAAAAAACTTTTCTTTCCAATTCGGTCCAGGGGCAAAAACTGTTGGCCACCCCTGGGTTAAGTCATTTTCTAAATTACAATTTTACATTTAGCTGAAGAAGGAACATTTTTATGTATCATGTATCTCTTATGATAGGTTACCAGAGAGATGAAAATATTTTGATATGCAACCTATCATTAACTAATGCGATATTTGCAGGATCAATTACTTTACTCCACTGTTTATTCATGACTTGGTTTAAGTGGTCTGCAGATTGATAACTTTGAGAACCACTGCTTTATACAATCTTTCTGTCTTCTACTTGTCCTGTTTCTTTTTCCTTTGACTAAACCTTCATTATCCTTTTACTGAAGTATTCATTACCTTCCTTGTAATATGGCCATATCATTATAACCTCTCTCAAATCTTTGACATTTACATCGCTAGCAGTTACTCTGACTGTGTCAATTTATGTATAAATACTGTTTTTCATTAGCTTATTATTAATGTTTTTGTTGAAAAATTAAAATTTACTATTTATTATTTTTCTCAGAGGTTTTGAAACATTCTTTTATGAAGAAAAATGGTTTTGACTACAACAAGAGAACCAATAAAGTAAGAAATTGTTTGTTTCTTTTCAAAGTTGGCCTTTCTTTAAATTGAAATTATAATGTACTTGTTAGGATGTTACTTTTACACTGAAAATCCAATGTAATGTGGGTGATAGGGTTCAAAAATTTGGTCCTTGTAAATGAATCTGCATCATATTGTATCAAGTTAATATTAACATTAATATTAATTGAGTTTATATATATTTTGCAGTAATAGATAAGAAAGAAGCAATAACTTTTCCTTAATTGGTTAGCTCTGTAAGACTAACAGTGTCTTGTTTTAATTGTACCCGTTGTGAGTCTAGTTGGGCCTGTGGTGGGGTTGATTGGGTGGTGAGGATGGGACAGACTGCCCATAAAAATTTCCTACTACTATCTTAGCCATTTGACTTTCTATTGAAAGTCAAATGGCTTAGATGGTACAGTTTCTTGGATGCCAAAATAAATTTCTATGAAATTTGAGAGATCCAAAATTAGGAATTAACCTTTGACATTAATATAAATGATTTCATATTGTACCGAGCCATATTATATTGAGTTTACAGTGTATATAAAAGTTTTCATACATTCACACAATATGATTGTTTTTGAATGCACACTATATAACAATAATTGATATGTTTAATCATGCTTAACAATAAATGGAAACAAAACTAACTAATGCAGATCTATTCAGTTTAAGATGATTATTATAATTTCAATTTTATAACAGTGATTAATTATAATTAGTTATAGATGTAATATAATAATTTTTAAATAAATAAAAATAAAATTACTTTCATATGAGGATTGCAATATTTCCTTGGTACGATTTTTTATTTCTCTGAACATGATCGACTGCCTGCATGTTGCCCTGAATCACCATTAATAGTTAATTAAAATAGTAAATGTTGGTTTAAAGTGCAATACATTTAAACAGCATTGCCTTAGTGCAGTGGTTCCCAAACTTTTTTGATTCTAGGTACCTTTGCTAAATGCAGATTTTCCCAAGGCACCCTATGTCAAATTCTAACAAGTACATTAAATTCTAACATTATAAAAATTTTATAACATTTTTTGGTGCCCCTGTGAGGAAGCCGTGGTACCCTATGGTGCCACGGCGCACACTTTGAGAACTGCTGCCTTAGCATATGGACTGATTATGTCATACACAAATGTGCTATATTATACTGTTAGACTTATGCACAGTCTTAGGAATCATACCTCAAATGTTTAATTTTTGATTTAAGATGGGAATCCTGATTCATATAATTATATAAAATATTGCAGTCAGAATATTTCATATTTATAATTTTTTCATGTATGTAGTTTCTTTTACTTATGTTTCAATGATTTCAAAATTTTCTGAAGTAAAATTGTCAGTGTTTAGAATATATTTTAACTTTCAAAAATAAGCTTTTATAATATTTTTAATACCATAAGATAACGTTTATTGTTTCTTATCATACATACTTAATTAATCATAATACCAGATGATCAAACAAACTTAGAACTTACAAAAAGTAGCATGAGGAGTTAAGTAATGCTGTAAATTTTGATTCAATGCTGTATGCAAGCAGTACTTGTTGCAATGCCAGCTTGTGGTATTGCCAAGTTTGACTTGTTGTACCACCAAAGTTATTGTTACTTCTTGTAATTTCTATTCTTATTTGATCATCTTGTATAAATGTACACTACAGAATTAAAGAATTTTTGACATCACTGCTAATTTACAGTGAATTAAAGAAAATTGTTTTATTTTGATTTAGACACAGACCATCTAAAATTTATAATAAATACATCTATTTATTTTATGTGAATAAATAAGCGTTATATAAATGTTTTTACCATTAATAAATTAATTTTGATTACAGCTTAGAATACAAGACTCTATTGACAGTGGCATGGGCACCTCGTCTACGCTTTCGACAAAAATTAGTGGATATTCTAAGCTTCAGTCAACGAATTTAATTCGCGTTCCTAGTCTAGACACTCTTAATTCTTGCGATTTTAGTTCTGATGACCATGTTGGTAGAAGAGATTATGGGAATCGTCATCCTCCGTCACCTCCAGTGCGACTTAAATCGAGGTATCTATATTAGATTTAAGCATTGTTTGGTATTGTTTGTTTTATAATAAAGCTAATACTTTTAAATTTCAGTCCGCACGAAGTGTCTTCTAACTATAGCAATGCTATCTGTCAATTAAAAAACAGATTTTCTCCACTTCCATCTATAAATGATATTTATAAATCTCACGGCAACGAAGAGTTAAAAGAAATACAGTACGGGCAACCATCAAGTAACGAAGCCAATCGTTTTGAAGAGAGATGCACAGAAAATCTTGTAGATGAGCATTTTCTGGATGGGCCTGCAAGAGAAATGTTCAATGGAGAACTGGATGCAAAATTATGTAATGGGTAGGTACTACCAGTTATTATAATATAAATACAGTAGAGCGTCGATTTTCCGAAAGTCAATCATCCGAAAGAATTCCAGTCGGCAAATTTAAATTTTCGCCAGTGCTGTGGCGCTTCAATCTTTGGCTATGTCTTGGGCTACTCAAATATTTTACGTTTTGATACTAAATTAACATCTGAAGTATAATTTTTTATTTTTATATTTTTCAATATATTTATTTTGTTTGTACAAAATAAAAAAATAATTTTTAACGATACAATAGTCTTCTT